GGACGAAGGACAGAGAGATACGACGGGAGCGTCGGAGGCTGCGAGCAACGAGATCCGATGTCTTGGCTCTTTCAGCGCGGGATGCCTGGGAGCCGGAAGTGTCGGGCTGGGCCCGAAAGGGGCTCTTTAGGGCCCCTTTGGGAGCCAGTCGGTGCCGAAAGGGGCCCTGAGGTGCCCTTTTGGGGCCGTTTCCTCATCTCCAATGTGGGTCACTCCCCATTGCCACCCGCTCCAAATTTTGTTTCCGATGACCTTCGTTATCCGGGCTGGGGGGGTGGGGAGCCCTGAGGTCGAGTAGGTGATCGACTGCAGAATTGGCTTGCACCAAACATGATTTCCTCGGCGAATGTAGAAGGAAGACGTCGCTTTCGTTCATGGGTTCGTCGAGGGAACACTTTTGGAGTAAATCAATTCTGTAGTCGATCCAATACTCGACGAGTAACGGTAACGCTTGAGACGGGGTGGGGCACTTCGTTTGAGAAATCCTCGGATAATGATCCACCTCCCAAAGCCGTGCGGTGACCCCGAAATCCCACCGACTCACCACACGGTTTTGGGGACCCAATTCACCCCGAGCCCTTTATTCACTGCCCCAGGGCCTAGCGAGGGCCCCCGAAGCTAGAACATCTCAGAAAACCCTCTGCGTTGATGAGTCTCAACCATCCTGTGGTATTAGGTCCTCGTTTTGGCGAGGCTGTCCCCGCGTTCCTCCTTCTTTTCCTTCCTCCCGTAACCCCCCTCACTTTGGCACACCCATCGCACGCTTCGTGGCCCCATAGGGAGCTCCACCGCAGGCCCCAGTGGAGGGGCCCACATGCGTCCGCCACACCCAGTACAGCGTTTAGTGGCCCCATAGGGCGCTCCACCATAGTGCGCTCCACCGAAGGCCCCAGAGAGGGTGCCCGCATGCGTCCGCCACACTCAGTAGAGCGCTTCGTGGCCCCCTAAGGAGCGTCACAAAAGGCCCCAGTGGGGGTGCCCGCACGCGTCCGCCACACCCAGTACAGCGCTTCGTGGCCCCATAAGGGAGCTCCACCAAAGGCCCCAGTGCAGGTGCCCGCACGCGTCCGCCACACCCAGTACAGCGTTTCGTTGCCAAATAGGGAGCCCCACCGAAGGCCCCAGAGAGGGTGCCCGCACGTGCCCGCCACACGCAGTACGGCGTTTCGTGGCCCCATAGGGCGCTCCACCGAAGGCCCCATGGGGGTGCCCGCACGCGTCCGCCGCACCCAATTCAGCGCTTCGTGGCCCCATAGGGAGCTCCACCGAAGGCCCCAGTGGGGGTGCCGGCCTGCGTCCGCCACAGCGTTTCGTGGCCCCATTGGGAGCTCCACCGAAGGCCCCAGTGGGGGTGCCCGCATGCGTCCGCCACACCCAGTACAGCGCTTCGTGGCCCCATTGGGAGCTCCACCAGAGGTCCCAGTGGGACCGCCCGCATGCGTCCGCCACACCCAGTACAGCATTTCGTGGCCCCATGTGGGGCTCCACCGAAGGCCCCAGGTGAACCGCCCGCATGCGGCAACCACACCCAGTACAGCGTTTCGTGACCCCATAGGGAGCTCCAGCGAAGGTCCCAGTGGGACCGCCCGCATGCGTCCCCCCACCCCAGTACAGCGCAGCGTGGCCCCACCGAAGGTCCCAGTGAGACCGCCCGCATGCGTCCCCCCTATCCAGTATAGCGCTTCGTGGCCCCATATGGGGGCTCCACCGAAGGCGCCAGACTCATGGGAGGTTTTCGATAGAACAAATTAGAGCGATGAAATTCGATTGAGGTGCCATTTCGCCAGAAGAGGCCAGGTTGAGCCCAGGAGTCAAGCCGGATTAAACAGGATTAAGCAGGACTAAGCCGAACTAGGCCAGACCAGCCTAGATTAAGCCGATTATCGACCGCGAAGATACCAGCGCCGATGCAAAGTTTCACCTCCCAAGCGTTGCATTCTAGTCAATCGTTCCGAGGGACCCTGAGATCCGTCGTAGCAAAAAAATGCAATATCGTAATCTCGCCTGGGACCCTGGATCCCATCTTTCTGCCTCGTTGTTCGAGCCGGATCGATACGTGAGGGCCCCGGGGCGCGAACACAAGTCGACAACGCCTGGCTCGAACAGATCGAGACGCCAGGATCTCAGGGTTCATCCCCCAGGAGTTGCATGCTATAGTCGCTCTTTCCAAGCGAAGGGCAGGGGCCTGGCCGACGGCCATCGTGGCGCGGCCCGGCCGGTACGAGAAGACGCTCTCGCTGTCCTCGGGGGACTGCTGACCCAGGTCAGTGCAAACCTGGTCAGTCAGGCCTCGTAGGATCCCAGCAGGATCCAGCAGGATCCTGCAGGATCCTGCACCCAAACTCGGGTCAGTGCGCCCCTGGCTGCGCAGGATCCTGCAAGATCTGGCGCTCTGACTGACCCCGTTTGCATTGACCCCCGTTTTTGGAGGGGGGGAGGGAGGAGGACGAGGAGGGAGGGGGGGAGGAGGAGGATGAGGAATCGGAGGAGAAGCAGGCAG